GGCGACCACATTTTTCCATATGGCGACTGAAAAAAAAATTTCAGTCGCCAGTTGGCGCCTGCCTAAAAAAAGTTAATTTCGGACCCTGTGACTGCCTATTATTTGTCAGTGTTTTCGTAGTTTGAACTCATACCGCGATCGAGAACGTTTCGAGCGTGAACTTTGCTTACCTGGCTGGCTTTCGAGCAATATAATTCGTGGACCGACCCTTTCCGAAAACGATCGACATCTTTGTATGTGAGATAAACGTATATTAAAGGCGCGATTCATGCCAAAACGTTCTTCGCAAAACACCACACTCTGTCACCAAACAGCGAGCAATGTCGCTTTCTCTTCCTCAGTTTCCACGGGCTACGCATGGAACGCTTGGGACCATGACCCCCCTTTTGGCGGCCAACAACGGCTTGCATTTTCTGACTCGGGCTTTCCTACGGAAGCCCGAGTAAAAATTCGGACACTTAGCTGAAACATAGCTTAAGCAAATTTACGCCTATAAAACAAGAATTAGACTGGAACAACATAGGTGAAAATGATAGTTTTACTGCACCCTCAAGGTTTTAGAATACATCGACGAGAAAAAAAATTCTTTCGAGCCCTTACATCTCGTAAGCTGTTTCTCAACTACAGTTCGCTCCATAAAATAAACTAAGAGATTTGGAGCCTCTGAAAAGTTTTATACGGTACTGTAAATATTTCGGATGCTTAAAAAAATTTCGGACGGTAATATTTTCGGACAGTTTTGTCCAAAATTAAAATGGCCCGAAATTTTTGCAAGTAATGTATTTCCTTAAATTCACTTTTCCATGTGAAGCAGCTTTTGACAATTTTTACAGACCAGCTTTATAGAAAATAATGAGACACTATGGCATTCCGCAAAACTAAAAGCAATCGACATGTGCTGTTAGTGTTAAGCTTACATTTTCAAACGACTAACAAACTACAACAAACCAAAATATTTGCTCATGGCAACATTTCCAATCAACTTGCCAGGGCGACAAAAACAACGCTTTACCAGAAATTAGCATGGCACATAAATAATGGGGCAATTTACTGGAAAAAAAACTTTCTTCTTCCCAGTAATGTTGGAACAACTCACCAGTTCAGATTCCTTCTCTCGGGAAACATCTTTTAGTCTTGGCACAAGATCAGGATGGGCTTGAACGAGTTTGGCAAAACACCTTAAGCGCGACTGAGCCCGGCTGTGTGCCACATGAACGAGTGGTATGTCAATCATCTCGTTACCATCTTCATCTTCCAAAGTACCCAGTTCCCTCGCTGAAGAAAGAATGGCTTTATAAACAAGCTGAAAGAAAAAATGAAGAAAAAAAATTCAAAGCCGCAGTGCACTTTTACAACAAGTCATTATTTACCACACAACAAATTCGGAATGCGGTCTCCAAAAGGGAGGGGTTTCAGAGAACGAGGATTAATAAAAACTGGAAAAAAGTGTTAAGACAACATATCTACTTATTTGTCAAATAATAGTAAACGAATACCTTGTGTTCCATATCACATGAAGGCTTGTAAACCATGTGAACGAAATCCTTTAGGTACGCTTGTGCTGAGTAGGGTTGATGACGCAGATCCCCAAGAAGAGACCCAATTTCGGAATTATCGATCAAACCACGTAAAGATTCCACCAAAGTAGCATTGGACTGGGCTGAGGAAACAACAAATCACGAAATAGTTTACAATTATGTTTTATCTTTAGGGTTTTTTTGTTTCATGCTGCGTATCACGGCTCTAAAGGCCACTATGAGATGTCCATACGAATCTGGTTCTGATGAAATAGGATGGAACCTCTACCTCTAACTTGGATTTCCTTCTCGTACAGCTAACTAACACTACTGGTCCGACATACCTCCTGTTACGAGTATCGTTGTAGAGCAGGGTTGTTTCCAGACAGAACTCAGGATCGCTGGTAACAGCAACAAACTAATTTATTTCCGTAAGGTAACTTCGCGAATTTACAGCACTAAGCTTCTTCAAATTTGAATCAATCTCTATTACAGAAGAACCTCTCGCTTTCATATACATGAGGCTTTAAGCTCTAGAAACTTCTATTAGGAGCTAAATTAAGTAGTTTGACACAGTTTCTAATCTGAGTAATTACATAAAGGTCAGAATATTCTGACTCTTATACAAATTGGTCACGGCTGAATGACTTCGGGTTCTAGATTGTTCTGGAAATTGACTTAGACGATTCTTCGTAACATAACCCCCTCTTTGAGGGGATGTGGATAGGCAGTATACACTTCTTCCAGCAATAAGCTTACTCCAGCACACGACTCAAGTAATCAGCTCCCACGTTGTCTGATCCGTTAATAGCTTCTACTTTCATATTGTAGCTCTGTAAGAACATAGCCCACCGCATCAACCGGTTGTTAGTGAACTTTGCACTGT